TGGGTTTGGCAGTTACCAGGACAACGGTACTTGTCTGATTGTGTTGTGCCAATTGTGAAGATTTTTCGAGGGAGGATTATAGTGTGGGGTTGTTTTTTAGGAGCTGGGGTTATCCTCTTAGTTTAAGATAATTAGTCTGAACATCCTTACTAAATCCAGCACCAATGCTATACCCAAACATAACAAATGCATAAAAAATTACCCATTTTCAACTACTTAATTATAAATGACCAAAAGAAATTCCTAGTCCTGGTTCCTGCTGTCTGGATATCCACCCACTACTTTCTTTTAAAAAGGTCTACCTGTCATTACAAATTATCTGATCCAAATAATAATAAACAACTGAAAACCAGCAATCAGGCCCGAAACCTGGGAGTAGTGATGGACTCTGACCTGAACCTTCAGAGCCACATTAAGACAGTCACAAAGTCGGCCTTCTATCACCTGAAGAACATTTCCAGGATCAGAGGAATTATGTCTCAGCAAGATCTAGAGAAACTCATTAATGCGTTTATCTTTAGATGCATTGATTACTGCAACCGCGTCTTCACAGGTCTGACTAGCAAATCAATCAAACAGCTGCAGCTGATCCAGATGCTGCTGCTCACATTCTCACTAAAACCAGGAAGACAGAACACATCACACCAGTTTTAAAGTCCCTACACTGGCTCCCTGTAGCTCAGAGAATAGACTTTAAAATATTGTTGCTAGTTTATGAATCACTGAACGGTTTAGCACCACAATACATTAAAGATCTGCTGGTGTTGCATCAACCTTCCAGACCCCTCAGGTCTTCTAGTTCTGCTCTGCATCCCCAGAACCAGAACCAAACGAGGAGAAGCAGCATTCACCTTCTATGCACCACAAATCTGGAACAAACTTGCAAAGCTGCTGAAACACAGTGCCTTGAAATTTAGACTAAACACCTACCTGTTTGGAGTTGCATTTGAAACGTAATAGATTAAGAATCTTAAGCACTTGACTAAATGTAATGTTTCAATTGTTGATTCTATGTTGCATGACTTTGTGTTTTTGTGATGTAAAGAACTTTGAAATGCATTGTTGCTGAAATGTGCTATACAAATCAAATTTGATTGATTGATTGATTGAACTTCCATAAATTTGCTTCAGTTTTATTGCAAAACCTTGATTTGGATCAAGGATGGGTTTTGTAAGATTTCCATGCCTTTTCATTTGAGTGAATGATTTGTGATGACAAATGCTGACTGAACTCTTTGTGAATATATGAAGGTTGTAATTAATCATGGTTTTCTGAATAAATAGACAGAAGGAGTGCTGTTGTTTGTACCAAAGTGCTGTGTCATACTTTCTCATTTTGTAGATTCCTTTCATGACAGTGCCAAAGTTTCCTGAGCCCAATTCTCCATCCTCCAAGAAAAGCTGGTTGCGATCCACGGTGGAGCTCCTCAGTTCATCAGGATCTGCATAAGGACTTTCATATACCTCTGTGTCCATTGGCATTGCCTCTGAAAATTCAAATGAAAACAGAGCTCTAAAAACGCTAAAACAGCTCTCTAACATGTAATAAAACAAGTCACATTTTTATACCTTTGATAAGTGTCATCTCATCCATTCGAGTAACTTTACATATTTTAAAGAAAGTCAAACAACTTAAAGTTCATTAAGAAAAGTTTGAATTATTAATATCACAAATGTAAAATCTCACCTTTAAGTGTATTTTTAAAGGGAAATTATTGTCATGTGGGGAAGAACTGAATTATTAAACTCATATTTACCCCATATATTTTTTACATTTACTCTAATATGACCCTAGCCCTACAATAAATGTGAAATTATATGTCAAAGTAGGAAGCATAATATGTAAATACTATTAAGGGCAACATGTAAGAATTAATCTGCCTTTATTTTCAAATAACATGGCACTGTATTTATGGAGATGTGCAATTCTTTGCTGTACTATTAATGCTCACCATGAAGACATCTAGTAAAATAGTTATAACTTAACGAGACTTTAAAAAGCACAAGATGTGAAAATCAAACTAATATGTGATGTGTTATTTTGTTAATATTTTGTTAAGATTGAACATTTTAAAAAATTTATAATTTGTAAACATAGCATCCAGGGTGGCAATTTACACATAAACCACCACTGAACCCAAGAACCCATGAAGCTAATGTAGAAGTAAAACATCTAACATGATGCTTCAGCCTGAGGTGGCACTCTACCAATCCCTTTTCTTACATGGAAGAAACCTCCAATGTTTAGTGTTCTGGGGTCTCCTTTATGAAGGACTGCAGATCCATACTAAAATGTACATATGCAGAAATGGGGTATATGCCAAAAACAAATCCAAATTTATAAAACCATGCACATGCGTACCAGCAAGAGATTTGCCTTTATAAATCACAGCTGTACCTCAAAGTTTGTGTACAAGATACCACCTCAGGCTCTTCCCTCTACATGCCCACATTTAACCATAAATACAAACTGAGCAGATTATCTTATTTACTGATTAACAATGGTAATCATGGGAAACACAAGGGAAAAAAAAAACACAATTTCACCAAGGCAGAAAGCGATTTGAGTGAGGTGAAGATGGAAAAACTAAAACTTTTTGTTGTCACAGTAACATGAACTAAAGCCACCAGCATTTTAGGAAGGGTTGAATGTGCATGATCTGTTTTACCAACAATGAAGGCAGACAGAACAGATATCAAACTGACAACCCACCAATTGCAGGACAAACTCCTACCATCATCGCCACAATTGTCCCATATTGGATAGATCACCGGCATGTTTTGAAGCTTGGGTAGTATTTATACTTTGGCTTTTAACCTCAAACAAAACAGAAGGCTTTCCTTATTAGACTAGAACATCTAAAAAACTGTTTAGTTAGCATCAACCTGACCTCCAGTAATAATGCAACAAACTTTGATAACTTTTTTCTATCACCTTTACAGTATTGCTAGAATTGGAAATGTCCTATTTCCAAAACTACCTCATTCATTTCTTACGTTGATGAAAAGGAATTGTAATTGTAAAAATTCCTATAAATGTTCTGCTTGAGAGCTTATCTTTGGACCTAAACATTCTGCTTGAGGTTTCTTCATGGTCAGGGGAAAATTTCTTTTCAACTGTCACTATGTGTATGCTCAGTAGGAGAGATTGCTTCAAAGCCAAAGAAGCAATGCCACTTTCTCTAAACCAGTGTTTCTCAACCTTTTTTGTGCCAGCACCCCCCTAGCCCTTATCCAGGTCCCTCAC